ACGGGACTTCTTTGCGAAGCTTGCTTCGTTCTTACTGGAGTGGAAGGTAGGTTTCTTTTGTGTCTGTTTTTTGTGACGATGACAACCATGGCTAATGGGTTCCTAGAAATCGAAAGAGAAGAACATCGCCCTCGAAGAGGCCAGAAAGCGTACAGAGGCTTCTCTTGCCCGCAAACGTGTCAACGCCGGCCTTGCCAACAGTTCTGGTGCAGGCGATGCACCGGTGTCTCCTGCTACCAGTGGTGCCATGGATTCGCTTTTGGAGAAATTACGAGCTGCAGCTCCTCAGGCTAGAGATCAACGTGATCGTCGTCGGCGCGCCAGGTTGAAGGAACGTCACCAGGTTCGCATTGCTTCGGGTCAGAAGATCCCGGACCTCACTGGATCTGAGCCCGCAAATGGTGAAACACAGTCAGACAGTAATAGTACCACTCTCGTGGGCAGCAATGACGCTAGCACCACAGAGACCGGCCTTCTGAGCCCGCCAGGTCAAGAGACCGACGTAGACACTCAGACGAAAGAGCTGCAGGTGTCGGAGAGCGAAGACGTTGCAGACCGCGCTGCGAGCATGCTGCAAGGTCTCAGGGATAACATGGATAACAACGGAGAGCGTGCTCGACGGAGAAGAGAGAGCGCCGAGGAGGAACGTCGGAAACGCAGACTGAGAAGGAGGAATGGAGGAAATGCTAGCAAAGACAGCGCCGACGGTTCGAGTTTGTCGATCGTCCCAGAGCCCGCAACACCACCGCCCAGTACCGAAGCCTCAGCACTGACTGAACCCGGCATGGCCAGTCCTTCGAATGATGAGAATGGGGCTTCACAACCTCCTCAAACTCCCTCTATTGTCATTTCGCCGAACGCAGATGAGCATCACGGATCATCTGGTGACGAAGATTCCCTGGATGGCTCGCCAAAACATCAGCCTACAGAGCAGTCGGGTTGATCTAAAACCTATGGTTGCTGGTCGCTCAGCCGAAACAAATCACCCGAACCCTCATAATATAATGTTTGATTGATAGACTTACTGATGTCGTCTCGGAAACATTTCCCTATGTCTCTCAGTGTATAATATCCCCCACTGTTACTTGTCTTCACCTTTTTCTTTTGATCACTACAGCCCTCTTCTTTCTTTCCGGTCAACATTAGCAGCACGGCCATGTCTTTCCTAGATCTTTGTTCCCAAGCATACCTTCCTTGTGATTTGCTTTGATCCATCTCTCGAGACTACATCGTTCCAACTACCCATCATCCATATTTCGGCATCTCTTAATTTTTGTTCCCTTCTCTGCATACCTATCCAAGCTTCCATTCTTGATTCCATCTTTGTACATAGTTTCCTTCAGTTGTGACTGTTCTCTTTGCGCGTGCCTACGGCGGTTCGTGCTTTTCCTGTACTGGCACGACTGCTTGTCCCTTGTTGTATCTCTTTGGCGGTGGATCTTGAAGCATCGGCTGTCTGGCGTATGGCTCGGCGTCTTTCGGCGCGCAGGCGTGACGAAGTGACGCAAGTGTCGTGTCGTTGAATATCCCCCATGCATATGTTGGTCCTTACAGTTTTCGCATTGACCTGCGTGGGTTGTTGCTCTAGGTCAATAGATCAATGGCGCCACCCATTTCAAAGCAAAGTCCTAAACCCTGAACCACTTGACAAGTAGGCCGGCTATACACTCAAGGCTCTATAAGCGTTATAGGATGTCTGTCTAACATGCAGATGCTGTAAATAGTAGCCATTGTGCCGACCTAAGAACATGTATGTGATCACGTGATATCATCGTTGATAACACAGAATATCACCATTGGTTCTCCGCCCTCTACTTCCAACCACAACTTTCCACTTACCTGCCTGCGCATGCGAGCATTCGGATTTTGGAGTCTACGGCGGGCTTTCACCTTTCGCCCGTCATGGAGCCGATATTCTTGCAGTCATGCAGTTGCTCTTGATCTAGCACGACCGGCCCAGCGGAGATTACCCAGCACTTGCCGGCAATTCTCTGCATCTCCGAGCTTTCGATTCTCCTTGGAGGCCGATTCAACGATATATGCGCTCTCTACTGCTCCCGGTAGAGCAGCCATAGCAGTTGTACGAGTCTCGGGTTCCGCATGTGTGCAGGTGGGTCAATTGACATTTATTTCCAGAGCGGAGCTGACACCTACTCTTCGATCCCTGAATAGATCTATCGCGCCCTCTGTCCCAGTGCACCTCTTCCTCGCGCGCGTGTTGCCGCAGTACGCACCCTCTACGACCCTACACAAGAGCCGTCCGCCAACACAGTCCTCGATGCGGGCGCTCTTGTACTGTATTTCCCTGGACCCAAAACCGTCACAGGCGAGGACGTCCTCGAGCTGCATCTTCACGGTGGGCCAGCTATCGTAAAGTCGGTGCTGGCGGCTATTGCCCGCACCAGTCGGCCGGAGAGTCTGGTCCGCTATGCGGAACCGGGCGAATTCACTCGCCGGGCGTTCATGAATAACCGGCTCGATCTGCCGCAAATCGAAGCATTGGGCGATACGCTCACCGCTGATACGGAACAGCAGCGGCGCCTTGCTGTTCGAGGTGCCAGTGACGCTCTTTCGAAACGCTACGAATCGTGGCGCCAGCAGTTACTATATGCGCGCGGGGAGCTGGAGGCACTGATTGATTTCTCCGAGGACCAGTATTTCGACGAGTCTCCTGAGGAGTTTGTCCGCTCCGTCGCAGGACAGGTCCGTGCGCTACAGATTCAGCTGAGATTGCATATTGAAAATGCGTCGAAGGGAGAATTGCTGCGCAATGGGATCAAGATCGCCCTGCTTGGGGCTCCTAATGCAGGCAAGAGTTCACTCTTGAATCGGATTGTGGGCAAGGAGGCCGCGATTGTCAGTACCGAGGAGGGAACTACTCGGGACATTGTGGATGTTGGGGTTGATCTCGGCGGCTGGTACTGCAAGCTTGGCGACATGGCTGGGATCCGGTCTGAGAAGAGCGCTTCCACAGGTCAGGGAACCGTGGTCATTGGAGCAGTCGAGAAGGAGGGTATCCGGCGCGCCAGAGCCAGGGCTCTGGAATCGGACGTGGTTGTGTTGGTTGTCTCCCTGGAATGGACCAATGGCTCGCCTTACCGACTGTCAGTGGACCAGGAGGTAATTGATGCGGTTAATGATTGTGTGCAAGCTGGGAAGTGCATTGTTGTGACTATCAACAAATGCGATCGACTTCCTGCTGCAGATCGGTCCGGCCAGTCACTGCATGAATTGAAGACGAAAATAAGGACGCTGTTTCCAGCGGTTCCGGAGAAACGCATATTCGACATATCCTGCCACGAGGCCTCGGAACGGGCCCTGCCTGAGCAATCAGATCCGGGGAACATGCAACGATTCCTACGAGGCTTGATTTCAACATTTGAAGAAATTGCGTCCCCAGCGGGAATGGAGGGGGACGAGAATGGGCAATATGATATTTCATATTGGGAAGATTCATTGGGAGTGACCCATCGACAAAGCTCTAATCTACAAAGATGCATGCAACACTTGGAGGATTTCCTGAACGAGACTACCCAAGCCCAAACGCCCCAAACTCCCGGCTATGCTCATGATCGAAATATTGAGACTGAAATTGATGTCGTGATGGCAGCCGAGCATCTGCGATTCGCCGCTGACACTCTCGCCAAGATCACCGGCAAAGGCGAGAGCGGCGACGTGGAGGATGTCTTGGGCGTCGTATTCGAGAAGTAGGTTTTCGTGTGTCATTATGATAATGTTGCTTTGCGGCTAACATCGGGGCTTGTTTTAGGTTCTGCGTTGGAAAGTGAAATTGCAAATATATTCGTCGATCTGACGTTCTTATGCATTTATATGGTTGCGTCGCTTCCACCAAAGATGGCGTATTGCCATCCCACAGCCCATACCCCAGGCACCGCCGTTCGTACCAACTCATGATGATGGCCGAGAAACAAGATCAACCGGGGCAATATATTCCGACAGACTCAGGTTGACTCTCGAGCGTTATTCAGTCGTCGCTATGCACGTCGTTATATCCGCCACGCCCTTGCATAGATGGCAAGTCGAGCGTGACGCCAGTGCCGGCGCGTACCGGATGGGGGGGCTTCGTGGATTCGGCGGGATCGTTGTATCCACCTCTTCCCATTGATGTTTTTATGTTAGGGAAGAGGAGAGGAGAGGTCCGTTCAACCTTCTGAGGTCCAATTCTTCGAATATTGTGTCCAAGAGAAGTGTCGCAAGACCGGCAGGACTCACCAGGTCAAGATGATTGCGAACTCGTAGCTGTAATGCAATAGACTGAATTGAAAGCAACCTATCCGAAGAGACTATTTCAATGAAGATGCCTACTATTTATACCTATACTCTCTTGTCTCCCGTCGAATATATGTCTGCCTCATGACACAAATCCGCCAGGCACCCACGGGGCAGGACAGACCGGACTGGAAATGACTAACATTCTGCTTTGCAATCCTTTGGAAATTGATCTACGATCTATTTTCGCGACAACGATAAACGTATGGACTCTGATTCGGGCTCCTTCTCGCATCTTCCGCATCATTCTGTGCGTGACTTGCTTTCCAAGGCGTATACGTACAGGGGGTACGCAGTACATAGTTCGGATTAATCATAGACGGCTTACATCGCCGCGGCCTGACAAATCGGCCAGACCAGAATTGAGTTGCGGGTCGCTGGTAGGTTAATCCCGAGAAGACGAGAGACGAGAATACCTTACCTTACTTCTTTGCGGTTTCAGAGCAGATGACAAACGAGGCGTTCTTCAGCTCCTGTGGTGAAGGAATTCGTGACTGTTGCTTATTGTTGAGTCATACTTGAGTCGACGGGGAGTTGGCTGCGTTCCTATAGGGTAGGTATTCAGTCGGAGTCGGGCTCGGTGTTAGGGCTGTGCTTGTTTAGTTGTTTAGATGGAGGGCATGGTTTGGGGTTAGTATTCACTCTATCTTCGAAATGGAAATGTGATGATTGAATCGATGATTCAATGGATGATGATAGCTAGCTAGCTACTAACCTCCCCCGTCCTCGCCGGCCTTTCTGATTGCTTTGAAGATCGCATATACAACATTCCGTTTCTGTTTCTCCCCGATAACCATGCAAACTGCAGTCGCCACAATGGCTTCATGGGTTTTGCTGAGGGAGCTGTCATAATCATAATTGTCTCCTACATCTGCATTTGGCGTGCGCCCGAAAACACTGGATACCTCTGCTTTATAGATAACTAGGACGCCATACTTTTTCTTCGCGATGCTGCTGAAATAATGAGCAAGAACCACTTCGCCTTGGCAGTGGCCAGAAGCAGATGGCACTTCAGCAGTCAGTTTAAGGTGATGCCATGGCAAGCAGCGCTTCGACCACTTCAGCTCCGCCGGGAGATTCCTCGTGCCCTTCCAGGCGAGATCAACCCCAGCGTACTTCCACTGATAACACCTGGTGCGCGTGGATAGTGGTTCGATCCAACATAGCGCCAGCGCTTCGTCGGCACGCGCAGGTAGATGACCGGCATCTGGATCGGTATCGCCATTCGAATAACCGACTTCCTGCTGTGCATCTTCTTTGTTGGCCTTGGCCTTCGTTTCCTTTCTCTTCTGCCTCCGTCTGGCGTTCACGTCTCGATGATACTGCTTGCCCGTTTCCCGCCAGAGTCGCCACTTGCGCACCTTGTAACCCTTCAACGCGAGATCGTCGCCGGCGTCGATGCGGTTGTCGGGGTTGCTTCGTCGGTTCCAGCTCACTGCGCCTCTTGGGTCAATCGCTGCGATCATGTCCTCCCCGAATTGTAGGTTCCATCGTTTCCAGAACGCGGAGTTGTGGATGAGACAGATTGGGCTTCCCTGCTTGCTACTGCCTCGTCGCAGGGTTCGCGGAGGACGGTGGAACGAGATGTAAGGTTTGTGGACGAAGAAGCCATTTGGATCTGTCGCAACTTCGGGATTTTCCTTGAGGAACTTCCGTCGTTTCCTCAGTCTGATGGGAAGTTGGTGTGGTGAGATCAAGATGCTGTGCTCATTTTCTGGGTAGAGATGGTAGGTAAATAAGCTGCTCTGCTGGGGAGCTTCTGGAGATGACGGCATTTTTCACCATCGCTTGCATTTGAGACCATGGCGTCTGCGCAGATTCAATAGGCCGTTGTCATCTCTTATATAAATTTAACCTCCTAGCAGTTTCATGGAGATTAACGGAGGGAGGCTTAACCAAGAACAACAATGGGTCGGGGAAAAGAACTTATCCATTGACTCTTTTCAGGTTGAGCACGGGACGTGAATGTCAATCATGACAAGTGCGTAAAAGGGGCGCAGACTGTGAAATGGCTGCCGCCGGGCACCAGAATACGAGGCGTCTAGTCTGTTGGCCCAAGGGGAGTCGGACGCCATCCGACCACGGATGCGACAATACAAACAGATAACTATCAGAGGCAGATATCAGTAGAATGTGTTGCTTGATTTAGTATATCATGTTTGTTAGTCTCACTGAATGGATTGGATCCATACAGGTTCTGCATCATTGAGGACAGCCTATATATCCAATATGCCTAGCGAAAGGTACTTGAATAAGCGGCGGATTGCCTAGAATGAGCCTGAGACTATGTATCCGAATGACTCGTCGCAAGTCTAGACTTTGAGGGGATTTATAGTTCCGCGCGTCTGTGCGTATCGATGAGGGTCTCGATAATGTATGTTACCGATTGCTATCGTCTTTACCAGTTGGCGGACTATACCCGCTGCGAGATGAAGCGTCTCAACTCAGCCAGACATTTCGGCATTTGCAACAGATGATCGCAGCTCGGACTAGTCTCCACATGCTGATAGAGAGCTGAGGGAAAGGACCTCGCGCCCACACCCAGGATCAGGGCAAAAGTACGGAAAATAATCATTTTGGTCCTGGGTGTACTTGCGGGCTTGGTAGCACTCGAACGCAATCTCGTGAATATCGCTAAGATCCACGCCCTTTGAGCATGTCCCCGCTTCGAGGTGGATCAGCATGGCAGAGAACGACCCGAATGTTCGGCAGCAGCCGAAGCATTCCTCGCGTCGTGCGTTCGTTGGTGCTGTCTGGCATTCAGATACGGACAGTAGCAATTGAGCGAGGACATGGGGACGAACCATGCGTAGTTGTTCTCGTTGCGGAAGTACCTGTCGCAGATATTGCACCAGTTGTGGCATTGTATATCATGTTGGCCCAATTCGTAGGCTGAAGGAAAGTATCTTTTGCATGGTTCGCACAAGCAGTGCTGTTCGTCCAGATGGTCTTCCAGGTCGCGCTGAGACGGAAAGTCCACTTGGAAATTCGAAAAGATTGCAAATGTGATGCCGATGAGAGTTCCGCAGATCATCGCGTTTGGAAGCCTCTGACACGAATGACGCGTTCACATCGCGCACACCAGAAGTGGTCCCATCGACAGTGCTCTTCCACGTCGGGCCAGTAGTCAAACTGGTTCTGGCAGATGGTGCAGGTGTATTCAGATCCATACCGCGAATCTCTGTCCTCGACCACATAGCGACCTAATTGACCCATTTTGAGTAGATGAGATGATGGAATTGATGGGATAGAATGGGAATTGACCCAGAGGTAGCAGAGAAGGATTAAATAGGCAAGTGGATAGATAAACCGCACGCGGTGGAGATCCACTTTGCTGGGGAATTCCCCTGGTTGACTGTCTCAAATATTCTACTACAACACCAACATCATCATCATAATCATCATCATCATCATCATCATCATCATCATCATCATGGCATTATAGTTGTAAATACAAAGATTTCATTACATGCAAGCCCTTTCCTTCACAGACTTACTCCTCGCGCGCAGTATATACGGAAGATGAAGACTCAGAATCCGAGTTCACCATACTAGTTGACTCAGATACAGGGTCAACGGGGTTGAATGTGGATAGCAATGGTAACTTTGATACCCTCCGCCGACCCGGTTGTGGTGCGAGTACTTCGACCTCCGTCTCGGTTTCATGAAGAACTGGAGAGCCCCTCCAGTACGGCAGAGAGTAGTCGAACCAAGGCTCAGAAGTAGAACCAGTGTGAGAAACACTTGGCTCAGGTTGACGGGGAGCTGTACCTGACGAAGAAGACTGTATAGCTGCCTCGAACTGCCTGGATTGCGGTGGATTGCTGCTCAAACCAAGGCTGGTGCGTCTTCCTCCGCGCATATGCTCCGGTGTAGCGGACCGGCTTGGGGGCAATCCTTGCTCGAGGGTGACAGGCAGCTCCTGAGGCGCCATGGCCGAGGGCTCAGCGCAGGGCTCTGGAGATCGAGCCGTCAAGGATATCCGAGGGGATATTGTCCTGTTATGGAGTGTTTCTCCTGTCTCTTGAGGGGGTTGGGAAGCAATGATATGGGTCTGCGGAACGAAATGCCTGCTATCTTGGGTCAACAACCGCCGGACTTGCTCCTTTCGCTCCTCAGAGATGACAGCATGCGGGGCGAAGCCGATTCCCACGGCATCAAGGCCGAACCTAGTCCCATCATTTGCCGATGCAGGTCCACGTTGAAGCAAGAGTGCCAGAACGTCAGGATGTCCATAATACGCGGCGTAATGGTGTGGCTGCCATCCGGACTCGTCTCTCCGCACAACGGATGCGCCGTGCTGGAGGAGAATAGATACTACGGGGAGATGTCCCCCCATTGCTGCCAGACACAGTGGGGAATCTTCCTGTGTCCTGGTTTCGTATGCCAAGTACAAAGGGCAGCCTCGATCAAGGAGGTTCTGAACTGCTGCTGCATGGCCTTGGCGAGAAGCGACCCCGAGGGCCCGGTCACCCTTGGCGTCTCTAGCCTCCAGCGAGGCTCCCTTGTCGCAAAGCAGATTGAGGATATTCATCGATCCACGAGCGGCTGCGATGTGGATGGGTCTCTGCTTATTGATCTCTGTCTGCGCCTCGATGTTCGCGTTACTGATGAGCAGTAGTCTGGCAATCTCAATGCTGTTGGCCAAACAGGCGTAATGGAGAGGGGTGAGACCGTCGAGGCATCGTGTGTCGACCGGTACACCCTTGCGCACAAGTAGCTCTATCACCGCGAAACGCGAGTTCATGGCCGCGAGGTGTAGGGCTGTTCGCCCTAATTTGTTGGTCGCTGTCAGCACGCCCTTCTTCTGACCCAAGAGATCCACAATCTCGATGTGTCCATTGAACGCGGCCCAGTGTACCGCAGTCATGGAAGAATCATCCACACAATGAGTCGAGGATTTACGCTTGAGCAGCTCCTGCGCCACCAGATATCTCCCCATTGCTGCGGCGCAGATGAGCGGCGTCCTTCGGTCACTTCCGGGCACATTGATATTTGCTCTGTTATCCAGGAGCAGTTTCATCACGCCTGGGTGGCCTTCTTCGCATGCATAGTGCAACGCTGTCATCATCGCACCATCTCTTGCTTCCAAATCTGCACCACATGATATTAAAAGCTCCACAATTTCTTCGTCACCTCGCTTCGCTGCAGCATGAAGCGGCGTCGTATGATTCTCCGCTCGCACGTTCACCTTGGCATGGTGGGCAATCAACAAGCGGGTGGCTTCAAGCTGGCCTCGACCAGCCGCTAGCCAAAGCGACGTCCTGCCCTGGGTATCTCGTGTCTCGGTGTCCAATTGCTCCAGAAGAAGCAGCTGAAGTACGTCACAATGGCCGCGTGAAGCCGCTAGGTGGAGAGCTGTAGAACCCCAGGCATCGACAGCATCAAGTCTCGCGTCCTTCTGAATAAGCAAATTGACCACCGCCTCATTACCACAGTGCGCTGCCACCAATAGTGCAGTCCTGCGAGTACTCAGATGCCGTGCATCAACTCCATGTCCACTTTCTATAAGCATCTCAATGTCAGCCAACCCTCCTGACTGGGCCAGTTTCACGATCAAAGGAGCTGTAGCCCCTTCAGGAGTTGTAAGATCAATGCTCGTTTTCAAATCTTTTTCGTCACCAGCGCGTGCTACTCTCGATGCCGTAGGGCTTAGACCGGACGACCTCGAAGAGCTTGACGTTAGGCTGCTTCGACTGAATCGCCGAAAGACCGAACGTATCTTCTCGCGCTTGGACCCCAACGGAGGACGAGCACTTGATGGCGGTTTTGAATCTGATTGCGATCGTCGAACTTGACTCTGGCTGTACTGGCGCGGAGCATGTTGTAGCGTTACGCTCGTGCTGTGACCATTGCTCGTAACGATCGAATCATTGGGACGAAGGGGCAGCGAGAAACCATCTGTTTGCGAGAAGCTGCGACTGGTAGTGGCTGCACTTGCATAGCCTTCATCTATGTCCGATTTGGATCGGAAGTGGTGGCCTGCGTAACGGATCGAAGGAGAAGAGGCAAGCACTCTGTCCAAATCAGAAGCGACATTGCTGACGGATGGCTGGTAGAAGCTCCAACTCGAACCGTGTGCCTGGGAGCCTGCGTAGCTGGAGCTCCGAAGAGTGGCCGTATCATCCGCGACTTTTTTGATGATCTGGCGGTTTTCCGCTCTCCGGAGCAGCTCGACTTGCTCGGACGATGAGCGACTATCGCGCTGTCAGCATATAACGTGCATGTTAAGTACTCGAGGCTCCGACCATTGACACGCCTGTAGCAGCAATTGCAAAGCCACCACCTGCGCATGGAGTCTTTCCTGGTGACCTCGCATGACATCCTCATTCCAGACCACTTTGACACGCGCCCGGAATCCAACGACAGAGTCCTGTCCTGCAATGTTCTGGACAAGGGATGCTACCTCTTCGGACAGAACCTCCATAACCATCCGGCAGCCATCCAATGCGACATTCAATCCTTCAATGTACTCTTCAGATTTGGTCATACCGCGGGCATTGAATTTAGCCCAATCCTCTAGGTGAGTCAAAGCTGATTCGATAATCGATAGCTCTCCGATGAGTGACTGGATGGTGAGATCGGCATTGCTGAATCTCCCCTTTAACTTGACCAAACCTGCGGTTGTCTGGGAAATGACTTGAGCGATTTGAAGAACTCCTGAAATCGCACCGATCCAGGTAAAGGGATCCATGGCGAAGATGGTTTCCTAACCTAGCTAAGAGCCCAGCATTGGTCGGTAGGGTTAGTGGAAGTAGATGTAGACAGCCACTGACTGCTAGATTGGAATAGATATCAGGACGTGGATCGATGATACTTCAATAGAAGAGAACAAAATTAAAGATAGAATGGCAATGGACAAGGACGAGAAGAATTCAAGAAAGATTCGAATTGCACAGCCAAGCTGCAGCACTAGGTAGATCCTGCGGGCTGACAGTCACGGACGAGGCTGAAACTGACGAGGAGCAGCGGCCCTTGCAAGTTATGAGTGATCGTCTGTTTCCCCTCATATGAAGACCGTGAATCAGTCGGCACTGCCACAGTCAACAGTTGTTAGATGCAGTCAAATCTTCCCCTGATTGATATGCTCTCGATGTTGGCAAACGAAATATATGCTGTGCTGCAAATGAAGTGCTACACCTGAGTCAGTCTGACTGCTGATATCAGTAGTGCTTAACGAGATGGTAGTCCACCATTGAATATCATCGTTTGCTGTAGTGACTTGTGGTCTCTTTCAGAAGGGGCCAGCCCACCGAAAGGAGAGTTGAAGGTGGTCAAACCTGATTGTCCGATGCTGTTGAATACCCCGGGCCCCAAGGAAATGTTGCCGCAAGCATGCTTATTCCCTCAATGAAATACGACAGTTCACCGGCATGAATCTGATGCAATAGAACATTCTCCATCATGGACATTTTCCATCATGGACATCTACTGTCTGAAGTGCAATCCCAGATTAACAATAATAGAAGGTAGGCGAGTATGCTGAAATGGAACGTGCCATCTTAGAGCAAGTTGCATTTTTACCATAACAGGATAAGTTGAAGCTATACAAGACACATGCTCATACACTACATACTTTCTTCTAGAGAGGTAAAGGAGGGGATACGTGCAACTAAGACAAGACACCTTGTAGATAGGTCTTTTACCAGACAACTATGAAAGTAATATGTCGAACAATTATCCCTGGCTGAATAATCAATAACTACTCGACGTCGTGATTGAGGGGATGAGTCAATAATACCAAGAGCAGTTACAGATCCGCTCTCGGGGATCACTCTTAATCTCCGGCGGGGCCTGGGAACCTTCTGAGTCAACCCCGCCAACATTTAAATCTGTTTCTTCCTTTCTCAGGCCAAAACTATTTTGAATCTGCTTCAATTGATCAAAAGGCAAGGTTCATACAGTCAATATGCCTTCCAGACAAGAGGTCGCTTACTTCGGAGCTGGTCCTGCTCCCCTGCCCACCTCGGTCGTGGAGGCGGGCGCAAAGGCCTTCGTCAACTACAATGACTGCGGTCTCGGACTCGGCGAAATCTCGCATCGCTCTCCTACCGCAAACAAGATCCTGGAAGATACCAAGGCGAGCTTGGCAACGCTCCTGGATATTCCCGATGACTACGAGATCCTGTTCATGCAGGGGGGTGGAAGTGGACAATTCAGCTCGGTCGTACAGAACCTTGTTGGAGTGTGGGTAGAGCGCAGACGACAGAGAGCAGAGGCCGAGATTTCGGCCACCGAAAACAAGGATGAACTGGTCTTTGAGAGATTACAAAAGGAGGTACATGAGGAATTGAAGCTGGATTACATCGTCACGGGTTCCTGGTCGTTGAAGGGGGCGCAGGAGGCTATCCGTCTGGTGGGTGCCAAACATGTGAACATCGCGCTGGATGCCAGAACCGCGAACAATGGGAAGTTTGGCAAGATCCCTGCAGAGGAGACCTGGACCCTCTCGCCCAGTAAGAACTCGGCGTTTGTTTACTTCTGTGACAATGAGACGGTGGACGGTGTGGAGTTCCCCAGCTTCCCAAAGATCCTGGAATCGGACGACCGAATTGTCGTCGCAGACATGAGCTCCAACTTCCTCAGCCGAAAGGTTGATGTCAGCAAGTATTCGGTCATCTTCGTACGTATTTCTTCCTGTGACGACATCTCATTTTCGAGTCTTAGAGCTAATGGACAGCAGGGTGGTGCCCAGAAAAACATTGGTATCGCTGGTATTTCCATCGTCATCATCAAAAAGTCGCTTTTGCCTCCCCAGACGCCTACACCAGCACCTGCTCTTCTTCATCGGTTGAACATTGGCGGATTACCGGGGAGCGTCGTGCTCGACTACGCGACCATCGCGAAGAATAACTCCCTGTACAACACACTCCCCATCTTCAACCTATGGATTGCGGGCCAGGTCATGGCCGAACTCGTCCAGACCTACGGTGCGCAGAAAATCACCGGTCAGGAACAGATCTCGAACCGCAAGGCCGAGATCCTCTACAGTGTTTTGGACAAGTACCCCCAGGTCTACCACGTTGTTCCGGACAAGAGTGTCCGGAGCCGTATGAACCTTTGTTTCCGCGTCTACGGCGGTGATGCCGAGAAGGAGAAGGAATTCCTGGCTGGAGCTGAGAAGCGCCTGCTCCAGGGTTTGAAGGGACACCGCAGTGTTGGCGGTATCCGGGCCAGCAACTACAATGCAGTTCCCTTGGAGAACGTTGAGAAGCTGGCCAAGTACCTCGAAGACTACGCTACCGGCAATGCTTAAACGGTCTCTCCGAGGGCTAATGATCTCATTTCCTAACCTGTAAAATGTCTTGTCTTGTTTGTACGGAGTTAACCTCGACTACCCAGCTTTATTCAACATAGTGCCAAAATTCTATAATTATTTACACAGGGAGATTTAGAGGTTACATATTGTAAATGTACATAGACAGGATGGCGGACTCTTAAAGCTTCCAAACAGCCCAATCTTTCAGGTCGAGTTCCTTGATAACTCCGTTAAGTGGACCTTGGAGTTCCATCCCTTGCGCCCACAGCTTTGGTCCTGCCATATAGCTGATGAAGCCTTCCGGTCCTGACACGAGAATCATTTTACCACCAGGAGATCCATGGGAGGAGGCGGAATCGGTGAATCTCGTGATGGATTTCTTCTCAATGAACGAACTCTCTTCGTCCACAAAATAGTCAACCGTAACTTGGCCCGGATATCGAGCTTTGAGAGTCTCGAGCTCGCGGACCATGAGCGAAGTGACTGCCGGATCCTGTGTCGGACCCGCTAGCGGAGGACTGCTGGGTTTTGATGACCCGAACAGACCTGAAAACCAGGATCTTTGCTGCGCTTCGTCTATTGCCGAACTATCGTTGTAACCCCCCAGGCAGTCATCCCGTCTTCTATTCGCCCAGAGAATGTGAAGCCTCGGCTTGTGGTCCGCGTCTGTCCGGCGTAGAAGCGTATGTCCAGCCTGCAAAGCAGGAGCAATTCCAGTACCGCCCGCGATAAAGAGAATCTGCCGAGTATCTGAGGGGATTTCGCATTCAATTCGAGGTCCGCGCACTTCAATAGGTGATCCTACATCAAGAGAATGCAGATACCGCGATACCTCCCCGAACGGGTCTTTCCGAATGAAGAACCGGAGGCACCCTTCTTCCTGCTCATCTTGGGCCTTTGACGTTATTGGCGGTAGGGGTGTATACTCTCTTCCGATTTGCAATTGCGGTTGCTTGAACATAACGCTCCATACGCCGGTCTTCCATGCGTCTTCGTAGGCTTCGCGGTTGTCGTCGGGCTTGGGTGGTTTCAGAGTGAAGATACTGCCATTCGACGATACCGGATCCCTTGCGACAAGGCGGTATTTGGTAAAGGTGACTGGATTCAGAGTCGTCGACTCTGAGCCTTGTTGCGATCTAACATAGGCTCCGATTCCCGCCGCAGTTGCAGTGACAATCGTCAGTCGAAGCCATAGTCGCTTTTTCGGCGGAGAAGGTGCGGAGGGTGTAGGTGATGAAGGCGCGGTATAACGACGAGAAGCTACTCTCTTGCTGAGGGTAGAAGGCGGGTTGAACAATAGGCCCCCTGACCTTGGTAGCCGGGGTTTCATGAGGTTGACTCTCAACGAAAGTGCAAGTATTGATAAATAATGAGTATCGTCGAGTCTTGTGGTGATCTTCATCTTCAAGCTTAATTGGAGACCCTTATAGGCCTGGCGCTAAACTCGATCGGGCATCAATGAAGAACCCCTTGTCGATGATCGACTTCATTTTCCTCATCTACACCTCTCAGCACTAGAGCAACTCCGAATCTCTTGCTGCTCTTGTATTACCATATACTATCGCCGTCGGCTGGATAGACCCCGCCATTGTTGTCTGTGCAACAGCCCTCCGCCTTCTGCTGGGATGGAGAGAGTTTCCCGTCCTCTTTTGTTGACGACCCGTTTGAATAACCACAATTGATACATGAATGCCTTTACAACTACCGGCTCAAAGAAATGTCCCATATCACCTATTCGCAAACGGATACCAGATCGGACAACCTCCATGCCCCTCGTGATTCTCTAGAACTTGCATCACTAGCGTCTTCCTCCCCGGAATCTGCGGGCAGGTCCTCGGCCTCATCCTCGCCCTCGGGCATTTCCTCACGCAAGCTCTCCCTTGAGGACGAGGATCCCCTATCGGACGCACATTCGCACGCAAATCTTGAGTCCGGGCGATCGAGATCTGCCCGATCCTACTCCATCTCCTCTGCCTTCGATTTCGGCAATGCCCTCTTCCCACTATCGCAGACCGCCGGGGGGTATGCTCCCTTAGGAGTTCCCTCCACACTTGACCGACAAACGGGGACCGACGGCTCGCTAGAACGAAATAAGACATTGACCTACTTGAACGGTTTATCATTAGTGGTTGGGATCATCATCGGATCTGGGATCTTTTCGTCCCCGAGTCAGGTCAACGCCAATGCGGGGTCTCCCGGCGCGTCTCTGATCGCGTGGGTTGTCGCAGGGTTGCTGGCATGGACCGGGGCGGCCAGCTATGCAGAATTGGGCGGCGCTATCCCTCTCAATGGCGGAGCTCAGGTCTATCTCTCCAAGATTTTCGGGGAACTGGTTGGGTTTCTCTTCACTTGGAGCGCTGTTCTGGTGCTGAAGCCAGGGAGCGCCGCCATCATCGCGATCATCTTCGGCGAGTATGTCGTTCGAGCAGTGATACATGCAGATGCCGAGACTGTCAGTCCCTGGATCAGCAAGGGAGTCGCATTCGGAGGCGTGTTTATGGTGACCGTGCTGAACTGCATATCGACCCGACTGGCTGCGCGCATAGGGGATTTTTTCATGTTCTTCAAGTTCATCGCATTAATAGGAGTTACTGTCATAGGTATTGTCGTTGCTGTGACTGGGTTCTCTTCGACCGGGAGCGCCAGTAAGGAGTGGAAAGAAGGTTGGTTCAAGGGAACGAGTACTGACATCTCCGGCTGGGCCGTTGCAATATACGCGGGTCTCTGGGCTTTTGATGGCTGGGACAACGTAGGTTCTCCCATCCCACATTCTCTCCCCCTGTCATTTACTGATCGTACTCGCAGACAAATTATGTGAGCGGCGAGTTCAAAAATCCTAGCCGGGATCTTCCCCGAGTGATTCACACGGCGATGCCGCTGGTGATCTTATCTTACTTGCTGGCCAACGTTTCGTATTTCCTTGTGCTGCCTCATTCCACCATAGAGGCGAGCAACACCATTGCTGTCCAATTTGGCGACAAGGTGTTCGGCTCCGTGGGGGCGCTTGTTTTCGCCCTGGTGGTGTCTGCAAGCTGTTTCGGGGCCCTCAACGCAACGGTCTTCACCACCGGTCGGCTGGTCTACGCTGCTGGCAAGGAAGGCTACCTTCCGTCGATGTTCGGCAATCTCTGGAGGGGTGGATCCAGCACAATGGGAAGCAATCGATTGCAGCGCCGCTCGTGGGCTAGCAAGGCTCTGGCCCGGATTTTTGGAGAAAACACCAGCTTCGGGTATACACCGATCAACGCCATGGCATTAAACAGCGCCTTGACATTGGTATATATCATTGGTGGCGAGTTCAAAACTCTGGTTACGTTCTATGGCGTCGCAGGGTACACCTTCTACTTCCTCACGGTGCTAGGGCTCATTGTCCTCCGAATCCGAGAACCGTACCTGGCGCGCCCCTACAAGACCTGGATTTCCACACCAATCATCTTCTGCTGCGTTAGTCTCTTTCTTTTGAGTCGCGCGGTCATCGCCGAGCCACTGCAGACGTTGATCGTGGTGGCCTTCATCATCGCTGGCGTCCCAGTCTACTTCTTTCGCATCTACCAGCGTGATGGGAAGATTACGTTTCCCGGATGGAAGTTTTGGCAAGCCAGTCGACGTCGGTAATGCATTTCAGGCGTATAATGAACATTCCCTTCTATGAGACGAGTGACGCCCATGCGCATAGCTTGCGTGTATGACTACGGGTTTTAGCATCTGCAGCATTATGATGCTCGCATCTGGACGATCGAGCAAGTGATTGGCGATTATTGTGATCAGAACGCCGCGTACCATGTTTAGTTCATTTCGACCCCTGTCTTCCTAGTTACGAGTTTGCTCCCGCGTCTATGTGGGCCTGTCATGAGATACAACGCTAGTCTAGAGATCTATCTAATGCTTAATTCTCATCACGAATCACACTCAGTCCATCCCAAATATCTGCTCTCACCAGCACAGCAGCAGGAGCAGATGTTGATGGTTTCGGCTGACTTTCGGTTGGCGAGGCGAAGAATTTCAACCCCGTGCAGACCTGCGCATGAGGTGCATAGATGCGTGTGGAGATGACCGTTCTGCTATTCACGAACACTTCGAGCACACTTGCGTCGAAATAGGCGTGGACCTGAAGCGGTTCCGTCACCTCCTCGACTTCATTGTTGCAGAAGGTGAAGAGAGTATGCGGCGCCGTCTCGAGGGCATGGTTGATACCGGCATCGTGAGGCGGTGGCCTTTCGATTGTGAACGTCTCGTCGTATGGTTTCCATGATAGGACGGTGCGCTGGTGGAAATCTTCTTGTGCGTCAGCAATTATTGCAACTTGGGGGCAACGAAGAAGCGAGAGAGCTCACCAGGGCTGTGGCCGATCTCCAACCCTACTGCTGCGCAGTGCTTCTCAACCACGAAGGTTGCGTTCAATTCCCACCTAGCAGTGCGCAAGGGCAAGAACGCAGGGGGGTGACAGGCCGAAGATCCCAGTTGTACCTTGGATAAATGCAACTCTCGTGCGGATTTTCGAAGTATGTCGAGCCTGGGGTCCGGCCGGATACTTAATGTTCGAACTCGTGTACCTTGCGGATCATGTTCTGTTTCAATCGACGTAATGGATTCCAGATTCGATTGGTGCGCTCGCTTGACATTGTGAAGAGTCACCAGCCTTACTAGTCGCGGTAGAGACATGACGCCACTCCAGCCTTGTCGATGGCGCAGACGATCCGGCAAATCCTCCTCGGTAATCCAGCAGTATACGACGTACTCCTCCGTGACCGGATCCCAAAATGAGTTTGCGGCGTAGCAGCACCCGTGATCGAAGATCCCGGAGAATGCATATTCTGCGAGGGGCTCGCAACTGCTCTGCGCCTGCAGTCCAGGTCGAACATTAATACACATCCAGAGCAGGGAGCGCGGTACTCTCTTTGGTCCATCCTCCGACGGCAGGCATCCCTCTGCACCGAAGACCACAAAATCTCGGGAGACGCCATCATCTGTCAACGTAAAACAGTTGGCAACTTCCCAGTTGACGCCCAGATCCCCCGACCATCGAGAGGGTCGAAAATTTAAGCCAACATAAAGTAAAGGCCCGATGTATGTCCACTCCGTCAGATTGTCGGGATTGACGATGTATACGAAGACTGTTGGGGACTCTTTAGCGATGCCCCCGGAGATAAATCCATACAGGTTCGGGGAGGCCAGTCCATCTTGTCGCTGGGCCCGCAACGAGGGCCAGCAGTTCAGATAAGGGTCTCTCCAGCCTGTGACCTCGAGTCCTGCAGGGGCGCCGGGGTGAATCGGATTACTGTCGAATCGTTGCCATGTCGTGCCATGGTCATGGGAGACTGCGATACTGAGCGATTCGCTGCCCTTGACATACGGCAGAGTAAAGTGGAGTGGAAGGTGATTTACGGACGTGTATACATACATAAGTACACCCGGCTTGCCATCCGGACCGTGAGGGCGGAAGCAGCCAGTGAACACGCCGCAGCGATCATACTCCGCAGACGGCGTGAGACATGGTTCGGGGGATATTTGCCAGGACACTAGATCGCTGGAGGTGGCATGGCCCCAGGAGATGTTGCCCCAGTCATTCCCGTGCGGGTTCCATTGGAATGACAGATGGTAGAGTCCAGTCGTCGGGTCATATCCAAGCCCACAGGGGTCATTCATCCACCCCCGGGGCGCAGTAAGGTGGTATGACGGTCGCCACTTAGGGTTCACATGAGCTATACCCGTCGCTTGCGGGATAGTCTTGGGTTTCTGTTCTGGATCGCAATGGACAGGGTGTGATAGGGTTCCACTGTTGCCCAACCCTGCCGCATGTTGGGATCCTGGAAGGATATGCATATTGCCCGGATTTATAAGAAGTGGGCTCTGCAGATCCAGCACAAAACTGGCCTTAGAGAAACCACGTTGTTCGAAACAGAGTTTGACTTTGAGACAAGAGTGTAAATGGACGCTAGTCACCCGTCATGGATTCGCTGATACTGTCTCAGTCATTAGAGTAGCTGCCATTGCATTACAGAACTGTCAATCCTCTTTCGGCACAAGGCAGTGGGGAATCTCATCCTTTTTATTCAATACGCAGGCATGAGAGATCGAGATTGATGTCCGTAATTGAAAATTGAAGCTGAAACGACGACAAGGGGTCATTGACTGTAGAATGCCAGTGGGATGACGGAATTACCTCGGAAGGATGCGGAGAGTTGTCGGAGAAATCCTGCTACAGCAGCAGCTATAACTATCCTCTGTCCTTCAGCTCATTGCTGTATCTGGCAATATCAAGGAAAATCATGCAGTCAGTGCATCGAGGAGAAGCACGAGCTTCTATCCAGACCAGTCTAGTGTGAAACGTGAGCTCAGAGATAGATGAAATCAACAGCTCATCCAATGGCCGAGTGCTCCAGCAGGCACCGACATTCAGGACTGAGGAGGGTCCGGAGCAAATCAATTCTTGCCATTCTGAGAGCTCGGCCGTGTTACGCTATCTCGATCTATATCAAAGCCTTCAATAATGAGACAGTAATATACGTCCCGCGGTGACAGGCCTGGTCTCCCGTCTCTCTCGACTCTCGATTTGCGGCATCCGCAGACGGCGTGCTGAACACCGAATTTACCCGCACTATCATGAACGAGACCCGGAAAGTCGTGCAAGAAAGTCCTGGGATTGAGCTGGAGCCCTGTCAACCCGTTCGAAGGCCACTGAAGGTGAATTACGAGCGAAGACGTTGCTCAAGTTACATTGATCATCCAGCGCAGGCCACGGCATGAGTATGTTGTCTCTTCCCAAGATGCTGTACATCTCCCGGACAATTCTGTTCTGGATATGAGTGTGTAGAATACATGATAAATAATCCCCCGTAAAGAGTCCGACCTGAACCTATGAAAAATACAGTATCAAAGACGTGCAAGCTCATGAAGTTGGTTTCAGGAGGACCGGGGTCGGCTCAGCTATTATATACAAATGTCATGTCTGCGCCCAGTTGCTGCACCCAACCCCGACGATGTGCAAAGAACTCAGGTAAGCCTTGAATTTTTCCAGAAAGGGATGATTGCCCCCGCGCAGTGTATTCAAAAGCAACATAAAATCCTCCGCCAACGACTGAGTAGAGTGCACGGTTGCTGTGTTTGGAGACATGGCTCCCACAAGGCTTCCAGGAGGCAGGACGCCCGGTCCTGCCATGGAACCAGCCACCGAGGCTGGAGAATGTTCACCAAGAGGCTGGCGGACATTGGAAGAAATTCCAATTGCACTAACCGCAATGTCGTACAGCTTCTCAACCTGCGTGCGCACGTGAGTAAAGCGAAAATCAAAATAGGGTTTTTTGTCCGGGTGGACTGCACTCACTAGGCCAATACCATGCGCTTCCATCGAGCTAAGGCGCAATGACTGACATATCTTCAAGGTGTCCACAGCAATCGTGATGGCGTATTCGAAAGACAGCTCCTGGGGTTCTGAAACAGGTCTCAGGAGACCATGAGTGGAGCACAGCACCCACACCCGATTCTGCAGCCATTTCTTCGTGATAAACACATCGGCACACTGTGTCTCCCGCATACTGATTGTCAGTTGGACGCTCTGGGCCTGACCCGGGGCTGACTTGGTCCGTTCAAACCAGTCATAGCCCTTATATCGCTCGGACTCGCAGACTCTGCTGAGATTTTGATGGATGGACAAGGCCTTCTCCTCTGTGAGATTATCACAATAACCTGAATTGACGTTGCAGCGCTGATTCCAACAATCAACCACCTCTTCGTCGATAGCGTCGAACAACTCCATTAAGCGGGCCAGACCCAGCATTCCCTCGGCATCTTTTTCGTTGTGAACTATGATACCGGAAACAACGCTGTGTGTTGCATTGTGGATAAAATCATGGACAGAACGCATGCTGAATCCCGGTCTTCCCCAAAAGGTGATGGAATGTCGCCGTTGCAGCGCATAGGCTCTTTCGCTTTCTGTTAGCATATATCGGTTTCGGCACAACTAGCTGCTTGAATCTCATACCTCTCTGTGATAGACAAGACCAAATAGGTCCGTAATCGTTGGCCTTTTTCGTCGTTCGGTAAATCACGATATGAGTCAGGGTTGTTCAAGCCCAGTGTCGCTGCAAGGTCTAGAGCCTCTCGGAGTCGAAGCCATGCAGCATTGTGTTGGTTGCTGCCGAAAAGACATCCAAACAGGAAAAAGCTGGTGAGAACAGCCTCGATGGTTGGATGTTCGCCAAAGTCAGAGCAGCTCCGCATTTTCGTCGCCTCGTTCATCATCGATCTGGCCTGGTTGGCTCGGGACGAGGTAGTGGGCCGTTCGTCAATCTCGATAGGTTGCGTCAGTGAGAAGGCGCATAAAGATAGTAGCATGGCACCGAACTGCGGGTTTCTACGATGCTCTTGAGCCATCATGCGAATGAACAAGGAGGACCTGTTCAATACAGGCAGAGTCGGGTGCAGGCGGTCAAAGTAGACTTCAATCCACGGAATCATGTTGGCCTCGACGATTGATGACGGCCATGTCGTTCGCATCGGAACGGGCCCGGTTGGCATGACCCCCATAGTAGAAAGAGCCAAGTTTGAAGCGTCCACATGATGAGGCTGCAATCCAGCAGCTTCCTGCTCCGGTTGGATGATCGACGGCAGCGACGCCTTTAGGTAGATATTGCTTCCTGGAAACTCGAATACAGGCACCTGCGCATCTAAATTGTCGGGGAGCCAATACTCAACATCGTTGCGCTCATTCCAACTGATGGCAGAGTTAGTCTGAGAATCTACTGATGAGGTATCTGTAGCAGGCCACGACGGCCCAATCGAGGTGTTTGGACGCGGCGGTACTATGTCCGTCGGCACTGAGGCCTCCCCACGCTGAGGGATAGGCCACTGGGTGGCATCTTGCACCGAGGGGGCGATCCCATGCTGCCCCGTCTCCCGAGGGGGAATCGGCCTCTGGTACGGATAGGCGTCTGAAAGAGACGATTGAGAACTCTTGCGTAATAGCTGAGTCTGTTGTTGCTGACGAATTTGGGATACACGACTGTTTGGCGAGCATCAAAAAAATGCGCAGATGATTAGAGATGGACGGATTCTCAAGTAGAACATCCGAGCATAAATAACCACGCAATTGGTTCAAAAACTCACTTGCCAGTTGGCCCCCGCTTTTTCTGGGGCTGTAAGAAGAGGCATTCAAATCCCATCTGACAACACGCGCGACATGGTTGCGAGAGACTACACTGTATAATCCTAAGTAGATTAGCATAACAGCCTCCTCGTCGGTAGCAGTTACTCCTTATGGAATAATGATCATCAGGAACAAGACCAGAGGGGGAAATGAGGGGGGTCAGTTCAACTTGCTTTTATCTTACGCAGTCGGCAATTATCACAAGCTCTTCGGACCGGCGTTTTCTTCACGGCATTAGTAGGACTCGGGTTCATGGTGGCATATTTGTGAGTGGAGTTTTTTCGTGTGGAGCGGAGAGAATAAATGGGGAGGAGAGCAAAGGGCAGTCTGTACAACTGAAAAAGGAAGAGCAAGGTAATTATGAGGGATTATGCTGAGCTCGAGGGGACAAATGATAAATGATTAATGATCGATGATTGATCATCAGTTCAAAGCAGAGATGGTCCCGATGGGGTTTATTTGAATTTAGGAATGAAGAGAGGGTAAAGGTAGAGCGGGTCGTCCGGGGAGGCTGTGAGCTACTGAGCACCGTGGGAGTTAGGTACACAATCTCTTTACTGTTCCCACTGTTCCCCGTCTGCCACCTGATGATCCGATCGAGGCTGTGATCCAGTCCAGACTTCTATCCACGAGGAGGGACGGGACTCGAAGGGAGGGAAAAGGGAGTTTGGGTGACCGTTTGAATGTTCTGTGGATCGTCCCAGGACTAGACCAAGGTAGTAAAGTAAAGTTAGGTTCAAAGGTTGATTTTAGTAGTAGTTTCGTCCCCTGGGGGCTTTTTTGCTTCTTCGTCTGGGTCTTCTCTTCCAATGGTTTGGGCAGCAGAAGCCATGGCATCGTGGAATTTATTTCCATTCTCGTAACTATAGTCGTTCTTACTGTAAGGTTTTAAGTTCTTATCATCAGTAGGAGTGAAGCTTAGATACCAGGATACCTGGACGCCTGGAACTTAAGGTGCAAACTGGTGTATTCCTGAGTTATTAAGATGACACACTAGATATTATTCTTCCAGATCCTTCATCATCATCATCATCATCATCATCACCACCACCACCATGATCATCATCGTCATCCTCATACACCAAAATCGAAAATGTTGATCATTAAAATTAATGGATCAAAATCTCTGTGGACGGATTATCGACATACCTCCAAAGGTCTCCGAACTCTCCAATTGCTCGGCAGTTAACCCCTCCTCGAACTGCCTATTTCCCCGCGTCTGACCTAGAGCCAGCGGGATCCACGAGGCTGTGAGTGTCATTCCCAATCACGTTCAGAATTTAGAATTTAGAATTTAGATACAGGCTGATAACCGACAAGACATGCCACGGTGACACAGATACGCCATTTAGCTACCTTGGTTAAATACGGGATTTGAAACATGCACTCTGCTATCAATCCTTCTAGACCAGCATTTCAATTCCGAATAACAGCGCTAGATCCAACACAAGATGGGCAGCGTCCAGACCTGGGCGCAAACAGTGACTGAGAAACGCTCCTTACGAGATCGGGCTCTAGAGCGATATGTGACCAGCGATATTGAACAGCGCCCGCCTCAAATTCACAATGTGCATCACCGTACCTGCATACATGACGACCCTACCATCCAGGAGATTACCGACATTGACAGTGTTCCTATCCTCCTCGAATGTCTGAAACGGCGCCAATATACTGCGGAACAGGTCAGCCTTGCTTATATCAAAAGGTAAACTTCAACGAAGAAGCCCCTGCGACTAGAAGGATGGACTGATCACTAGAATTCATCAGAGCCACAATTGCGCATCAACTTGTGAGTTTACGTTGTGCTCGAAGAGTTTATAGTGTGATGTCGAGCTTACGTCGCTTCGTTAGACCAACTGCCTGACAGAAGTTGTTTTCGAAGATGCTCTCGAACAAGCTAGACGGCTGGACCGGCTGTTTAGAGAAAAAGGTCAACTCGCGGGCCCGCTTCACGGCATTCCGGTCACTCTCAAGGATCAATTCAATATCAAAGGAGTCGATACGACTTTAGGCTACGTAGGCCGTTCGTTTGCTCCAGCTTCCGAGGATGCAGTGCTTGTTGAGATGTTGAAAGGCATGGGTGCTGTTATCATCGGAAAGACAAACTTGCCGCAGAGCATTATGGTCCGTATCTCGCTGGGACCATAGCCAAAGGTACGAGTGAATTAACTTTTTCTTCAGTGGGCCGAAACTGAGAACCCGCTCTGGGGTCTAACGGTCAACCCACGAAATCCTCTTTTCACTCCTGGTGGCTCGACAGGGGGCGAAGGAGCTTTACTGGCTCTGCATGGCTCAGTTCTGGGGTTCGGAACAGATATTGGAGGAAGTATCAGGATCCCGCAGAGTATCAACGGTCTGTACGGTTTCAAATCAAGTGTATGTTCTACGAGCATTGATACCGGTGAAAAGTCAGGTCTGATTCTATTATAGAGCAGCCGATTTCCCTACTACGGCGTCCCGGTTTCGACCGAGGGTCAAGAACATGTTCCCTCGGCTATAGGGCCTATGACAAGAGACCTCCCGTCGCTCTCCTATGTCTGTCGCGTATTTGCAAACGCTAAACCGTGGACCTTAGACCCGAAATGCGCTCCTCTCCCCTGGAACGAGGATAGCTTTCGAGATGCGCTATCCAGGCCCCTGGTCGTCGGTCTGATTCTGGATGATGGAGTTGTGAAAATACACCCCCCTGTCGAGAGAGCCCTCCGAGAGCTATCGGCTACGCTGGAAGCTCAGGGCCATGAGGTCGTGGTCTGGGACGCATCGGATCATTTCGACTATATCAAGCTCATGGATCAATACTATACTGCTGACGGATGTGAGGATATTCGGCGCGACGTAGAGGCCGCCGGGGAGCCCTATATCCCTCACGTTGAAGCTCTGATCAACCGCGGGAAGGCGATCTCTGTCTATGAATACTGGCAACTCAACAAGCAAAAGACCACACTTCAAAAGAGATATCTTGATAAGTGGAATGCCGTTCAGTCCCCGTCAGGAAAGCCAGTCGATATTCTCCTTGGTCCAACGATGCCGCACGTAGCTGTTCCCCATCGCAGTGTGCGTTGGGTAGGTTACACCAAGATCTGGAATCTGCTTGACTATCCTGCAGTCACCTTTCCTGTCGATGAAGTGACAGCAGACAAAGATCGATTGCCGGACGAGCTCTATCGCCCCAGGAACGAGCTGGACGACTGGAATTGGAGCCTGTATGCCCCGCTGGCGATGGACGGCCACCCGATAAACCTTCAGATTGTTGGTAAAAAACTTGAAGAAGAGAAGGTATTGGGAGCAGCAACGGTCATTGAGGAGATCTGGAGGGCAGGCAAATCGTAGTGATCTTATCTAGCTCATATTCGTAGGACGTGAGGTTTCTTTCTAACTCCACTAGATAGATATACACCTCTTGTAAACATCATCCCCCCCGTACTGTTACAAACACATCTCAACTCTAGAGAGGCTGTATCCTTTAGCTTTTGCTCAGACATCTGCTTTTCAATCCCATGACCTTCAAATTAAAGTCGTACTGCTCCCTTCTCCTACTCTTCCCCTCACGATAGCTGGGCAAGTGTCGTTTGCTTACAGCCAGGCCACCCCCGCCCTTGGCTATCTGCGCCTGCATATCCGAATCAAGAGGGGAAATGACCATTCCAAGTCATTCCATTTCGAGCTGCATATGTAGTTGCACTTAATAATGCATGTGGACTCGAACCTAGAGGCCCCATCTACCCCTCAATCGAACTTCTGTCAAAAGGGTATGTCATAAGTCCAGGGTCAATGGGCTGATAAACACCAGGATCCAAACGATACAGATTGGTTCCTTATCTCTTATCTTGTCTTATCATAGTTCTAACTATTTCTCCAATGTGGCTGACTTGATATCAAGCCAGGTGGAGCAGGCTCGCCATACATATACTGGCGCAAGCTTGATCGTCCAAGCCATCTCCATCATAAACCTCTTCTTGCAAATCTCAGTACTCAAATCAGCATCATGGGCAAGAAGCGTGTATTGGTCGCCTACGGAGTGGATATTGATGCTGTTGCGGGTTGGCTGGGGTCCTACGGTGGGGAGGACAGCTCGAACGACATCAGTCGAGGTGAGATCCTGCGCATACACTCAAACAGCCAACAAGTAGTTCTCACTGACTCCTCTCACAGGACTCTGGGCTGGTCATGTGGGAACCCCACGTCTCTTGAAGCTCTTCGACAAATATAACATCAAAGCCACATGGTTCATCCCCGGCCACTCCCTGGAGACCTTCCCTGAAGAATGCGCCCAAGTGAGAGACGCAGGCCACGAGATCGGCCTACACGGCTACAGCCATGAGAATCCCAGCGACATGACTCCCGAGCAGCAAAAGGACGTTTTGGACAAGACGTACCGCATGCTGACAGAATTCTGCGGCAAACCGCCTCGGGGCATCGTGGCGCCCTGGTGGGAGACGAGCAAGGAGATGGCGGATCTGCTGCTTGCGTACGGGATCGAATACGACCACTCTATGTCCCATCATGACTGCCAGATGTACTGGCTTCGGACAGGCGACACTTGGACCAAGATCGACTATAGCCAGAAGGCGGAGAGATGGATGAAGCCGCTGGTCCGCGGCCAGAATACTGGACTTGTAGAAATCCCTGGGAATTGGTACATTGATGACTTGCCGCCGATGATGTTCATCAAGAGCGCGCCTAACAGTCATGGTTGGGTGAATCCGAGGGACATCGAGGATATTTGGAAGGTCTGTTTACCAGTGACTGGGCCCAGGCTAGGTCGTCACTGTCCGCGCTTGCTGAACTAATACTTCTTCCAGGACCATTTTGACTACTTCTACCGCGAGTATGACAGCTTTGTCTTTCCGATGACGATCCACCCCGATGTTTCAGGGCGGCCCCACGTCCTTCTTATGCACGAGAGGTAAGCCTGCTGCTTGCGTAAGTCTATGCGCCAATTTCCCAGGCTGACTAGACTACAGGATCATCGAGCATATCAACAAACACGAGGGCGTGGAATGGGTGACATTTGAGCAAATGTGCGATGAGTTTAAGAAAAACAACAGGCCACCTGAGGGTGCCAAAATGCCGGTTACACCGGTTTTGTAGACCTGGTATCCGGCTGAGCTAACTTATGCTCGTAGTCCCCTAAGGGATGCGCAATAAGCTGGCATACCCGTAAGTCACAAGTCTGGGTTGAGAACTGCTAGTATATTCAGCACTCTGTGCTTAATTGACGCATATAAAAATCTAAGTGGCTTTGAATTGTACAAAACTATAATACCATATGAAGATTCTCGAGGATGCATAATCCCAAATGCACCAGTTCAGCTCGTTGCATTAAGAAAAGAGGGTCAGACTTCCCGGCCGTTGGAACGCCGCAACACCATGTACATGTCCTATGAAAATGCTTTTTGCGGATATCTAGGCCTTCGGAGGCTCAAACAGTTGGGGCTTCATGTTGATTTTGCAAAGCTTGGATACGCAGCCACTCAGTTGAAGGAGCGATTGCACACCGTCGAGAATGCGCATATGTGTGAATCCGATCTCCCTGATAAATTCCAGCTTCGAATGCTCTGACAATGTCGGAATTGTCTTGGTGACTCGAAACATGGTGCTGATGATATCATGAGATGAGTAACCGAGACCCCTAAGCGTACTTATCAGTATATCGGTTAGAAAGCAATAATGGAACGCATCATGCGCATACCATAATTCGTTCAGTATTTCTAGCGCAGCGTCAACCTTCCCTTCCCAGCAAGCCTTGATCATAGCTTGGACCTTGATCGGATGTGGACTGTCGACCACACGAAAGACGTTATCCCCATTGACCAGGCCAAAACCTGACCATGTGCTCTGCAGGTTATTGATAGCCTGACGCATGTCTCCCTCAGCACTGAAAACCAGGGCAGCGATCCCATCTTCTGTGTGTTCCACCTTCTCGGCATCGCATATCTGTTTCAATCGTTTCACCACCTGTGCGTCTGTCAATCGGGCGTAGCGCAGGATAGCGCATCGAGATTGAATGGGTTCAATGATCTTATTTGACTGGTTGCAAGCAAATGCGAATCGTGTTGTAGAAGAGTAGATTTCCATCGTCCGTCGTAATGCCTGCTGCGCGCCAGGGGTCATGCTATAAATTGTCAGCGACTCTCCGTACATATTGTTAATTATGGATCACACCTATCCGCTTCATCGAGAATGACGATCTTGTGACGGCCCGGTGGGAGTGTCACCTTCTTCTGTGCAAAACCTTTGATTCGGCTCCTGACAACATCGATACCTAACGAATCGTCAGACTGGATCAGACTGGGCTGACTCAAAGCAACATACCTCGTTCGTCACTAGCATTTAGTTCCAAGACCGCCTCCTTGTAAGCCCCTCCTAGTAGTTGCCTCGCCAAGCACAGAATTGAGGTAGTCTTGCCTATACCAGGCATGCCCGAGATGATAACGTGGGGCATGTTGCCATCTTTGGCTATAATTTTCAGGCGCTCAATTGTTTCTGTATTGCCGACGATGTCATCGAGAAAGATGGGGCGATATTTCTCCACCCTAAAGAGGTCATCTATTAGAAATCGTCAAGTAGAACTCCGTGATCTTGTTTACAAACCAGGGTAGTTCATAATCGGGGGGAGCTCCCGCAGTAACGGCCTTGAGGCTATTTCGAGAAGCACTTGCTGAGGATTCTGCTTGCACCATTGCGAAGAGTTGAATGCAGGAATAATGAGCTGTATTAGGAGTTCCTGCAGTTTTTTGTAATGTGAAAAAAGAGGCAGATTATCTGTTAAGCGACCTGGCTTTTGGAAGACGCGAAGGTTGGGGACGCGTCGGGATGGTCCAGATTGGGCTTAATTGGGACTCTGGATCAATTCCGCCCTTTCATCTCCACCCACTGCCACCAGCATTGGCTGTTTATTGTTATGCCTCACCATTCATTTTATTGTTCTAGGATCATTCTTTGTTACAGCCTCGACTAGCTTGAATTGTATTGACACTCATTTCAGAGCCGCATCTGGCTTAATCACGTCACATTACAAGCACCTATTCTTGGGCCAACAAGCATCACAGCTTCTTCTCAGCTTCTGGCAGCACATCGGTCCTGCTAGGTGCTTTCTCAATCAACCTAAGACCTGTTCCTGCAGGTCGCCTGCCAGGATGGGTACAACCTCCGTCAGACGCAATCTCTTCCACCATAATCTCAGCAGACGCCCCGTCTCTGCTACTTCTGGGTCAATGCCAAGCGGCAGAAGCAATGGGATTTCGGGTCCTCCCCCTCATATGCTACAGTCTTCTTCCGAGTCAGTGGGCCCCTCTCTGAGTTCTGGTTCCTTGGACAACGGAGATATCGTGGTCAGGGACAAGAACGGTGGTTACAAGCTTGACATTCCTGTTCTTCCGCCTGCAATTACCAGTGAGAATGGCGACGGGATGGATGGTTTGGACGAGGGTGGGACTAGCGGGGGAGCAGGAGCTACGGCTGTCGATTCAGCTAGCCAAACTGAGATCAGCGGGCGAGAAAAAGAAAGTACGTTAGCAGGCTAGAGAAACGATTGGTGGTCTGAATGAAGCTGCTGACGTGACTGGCCTGTCGAAGAGATCGAGGCAAGCCTAGCAGAATTGATGTATCGGAACCGAAACAGACAAATGAGCAACGAACCAGCCGGTAAGTGCATGCGAACTGTGGGTCTAACGCGGACCTGCGTGTCACATGTGATCCTCTGCTTGCGTACTGTTTGTAATTAAAGCACTAATAGTCGACAGAGATCCTCAATCTCATCCATCAAAGTCTCCGAAGTAGAGTAGCAGCGCTCGAGGAAGACAACTGGATGTACGAGCCAGAAGTAGATCCACGTGCCTAAGCCAGCTTGCAGGGGACAAGCCAAGTACCACTGGATAATCACGCTTCAATTATCTATCTGGTATCTACTTGGTTAATATGTTCAAGATGCATATATCAAGCACGACGTCGTGGCCTGGTTCATCTAATCGAGCTCCATGCTGGCCGGCGGCGCCTCCACGGTCTTCGACTGACTCCGTCCCTGGGGTGCCCTCCTACTTCCGCCCTGGTTCTGACCTCCGAACAGCATACTGCCCATCATATCCAGAAGTGGGTTACCTTGTCTCGGAACTTTGATCGCGAAGTATTGCTCGCCGATCTGTGACAAGGCATCATCCCAGATCCCTACTTCTTGGATCTGCGATGCATAATGGGCAGTTAACTGCTTGAAAAGGTCTGCGCTACCTCGCTGGATAGTGAGAAGCAGCATGCTTATGAAGTTCAGCAAAGGCAGAGACGGGAAAACTCGAACATCGGAGCTGGCGCTGCTGACTTCTTGTACACCAAGGGACGCATTTGAGGAAGAGAGCCTTGAGGTGAAGATGAGGAAGGCTTTGTTGGCGTTGCGGAGGTTCCCGACTGACAAGTAAGGAAAGACTGCACGAGAGGCGTATATAGCCGCCGTATGGGGCTCGTCGTTCGTGTACCACTCGTACTCGAGTTTCGCGAGCGTCTCGGCGGATTCGGAGGTTCCAAGAATGAGATGCTTCTCGGCGTCATATGGCTCATTGTCTGGCAAAATTGTCAATGCGTTGTAAATTCACGGTCACATATGGCAAACGAACCCTCGGCGTATACCGAACCAGCCGCATGGTGCAGCTCCGCATCTCCTCTCTCCACAGGACCGAACCGTCCGCTCCAGCCGATCATCTCCTGAATGAATCTCTTCCTCGTGGGCTCTTCCGACGGGAATTCACGCAGAAGCTCTATTAAGCGCTCTGTATGAGGAAGCATCGTCAGCCGATCCGATCTCAGAAAGTCCAATATCCTTAGCCCACCAGCTAGCGCTGGTTCCATATAGATTCACTCAGAAAGTCCTTCATCCATCAAGAGATAGCGTATGATGTTCAATAGACGAGATCAAACTCACTCTTTCGGGCTCGACCCTCCGCATCATCATCTCCTCCAGTAATCCCCCACCCCGCCTTGGTGTACACCTCGTCTACCAACATTATAGCCAAGTCTCCTCCACTCGCAGAAGCGCCCTGCTGAGATCCAGCTCTCAGAAGAGCAGTCGCACCGCCAGCCAATATTTCAGCAGCGGCCTCATAATTGGATTGTTTGATGTATCGCGCAGCGATGACGCGGAGTTGTTGGTGAGCTTCGTAGTAAGCACCGGAGGCGATTCTGCAGATGAGAACTAAAGTTAATATCCATGATTTTTTTCTTGAGAGCTTGGAAATAAGACATCATTGTCGTATGTCAAAGCTCGAGGCAAACCTACTTCTCGCGCTGCCGAGCAATCGTCTTGTCGATGCGTGAGGTCATCTCGGAGTGCCGACAAGTGACCGGGGACTGACGGGGGGAACCACAAATTCAAGAGAGTTGCTCGAGGGTATAAAAAGCTAAGATACCAATTTATTGTGAACAAACAAATTTGCAGAGGGATTCCAGCCTAGGTGGATAACAGAACAAGATCAGCGACAGCTGGGAGCGGATGGACGAGTGTCGAGAACTTTTGGTGGGGAACTTCCCTGGTGTCTTCCAGAACCGCGGAGCTTCTCCAGATCCAGGCCCCTTGTTACTTCGGCGGAAAATATTCCAACCCAGCAAGTTTGACGTGCATCGATCAATCGAGGTGTAGTTGCTCCTCATTTGAGCATCTGTCAGCGCATCTAGACGATCATATGACTGGCGTCTAGCTTTACCTAACAATCCGGATTGGTCGCAAGGAGCCTATATAGATGCCAGAGCTTCAAATAGCTTTCCCTTGGAGCATCACTTGATTTCCTTTAACAATAGGCCCGATATAGGCCCGATACGCATCGAGCGAAGAAGCTATGGATGGAGGTGCATTTGACATCCAGCCAATTGGCCGCTTCTATGGCGCCAATACCACAATCCGACGGCCAAAGGTATGTTCTTTCCATGTCCATACAAGACAAAAACTTGAGAATAACCCGAAAACAGGAGATCACTTGCTTCTCATATGATGATGAGCATAAGTTCCACCTCGGGGATTCGTCCCTCCGGTACTATTATACACCGCGCCTCCCGGCGGATTTGAATCGTGGCTTCGACACTTTCCAGAAGCTAGATGATACTGCCGATGAGCATCTAGACGCTTTGCTAGAGACCATTATGGCCCTGGAAAAAGAGACTGAAAAGCGATGCGAAGCGGATATCATCACATGGAGAGGCATGATGACGAAGGTAAGTCGCTCAAGTCTATTTCATCTGGAAAGTGGCTGTTACTGAGACTAACGCCTCCTGCAGATTTTGACTGCTCCTTTTGACAATCTCAACGGGTATGTACACAGGATATATGCAATGGCTTCATCTTACTGATCTGAACGATAGTTTCGAAATGAATGCGACTTGTTTCCAGGTAGGCGTTGTCCAAGCTCATTGATAAGTGGTTTACATTTTAACTGTGAAGATGCAGGGTACAATGTTTGTATATCCTTCTGAGGCTCCGCTAGTTCTGTGACGCTGATGAGGATTAGTTTCATTGAGGAGAACAACGCCTATAAAAACCAACAAAAACAAATCCAGCAGAATCAAAGAATGCCCCCGGGAATGGCCTCCCAGGATCTGATGGCATACTGGGGTAAGGTTACCGCTTCATGAACTGATTTGACAAGAAGCTGAAATTGCAATCTAGGCTACAAATTTGAGACCCTATGTTTACTTCAGCAGCCATGGGATCCAACGCCTCGGGCTGAGATCGAAAGTCGCGAAGCCCTCGTGGTCAACAACAATGCGCAATACTGCTCTGTTGTTCGGACAGGCATAGGGAGTTCCCGTTTGATAATTGGTGGTGAAGTTGATGCCGGTATGCTCTCCCCACTCTATATGCATGCCTCTGGCGATTTTAGGGGTCGTGTCAAAGCCTGTGCTGATGCTGGTGTGCTAGTGTGGGACTGCAAACCCGACCGCAAGGAAGACCCCATCAATTGGGTTGAGCTGAAGACTTCGGCAGAGATCAGGAACGACCGTGACATGATCAAGTATGAGCGAAAGCTTCTAAAGTTCTGGGCACAGTCGTTCCTCCTTGGCGTTCCCAAGATCATTGTTGGTTTTCGCGACAATCACGGTATAGTTCATCGTTTGGAAGAGCTCGAAACGGCCAGTATACCAAATAAGGTAAAGAAGCTTGGACGGGGTACGTGGGATGGTAACATTTGCATCAACTTCGCTGCTGCATTCCTCGAATGTAAGTCTCAGCATCTGCACTGGAATGCCCCTGCTTCTATGTCCCTTCAGCTAATAATGGGCTCAAAGGGCTCAAATCCACAATTAAAGAGGGAGGAACGTGGCGAATCCGTAAGCTGGAGAAGTCTTCGCTTATTCAGGTGTTCAAGGTTGAGGAGACTGGCACAGGCGACATCATCTCCACGTCGTTTCTGGATTGGCGATCACGCTCATGGTAGGTGGAGGTCGGCGCCTACAAACTGTTTGATTGGGGAGAACTTGCATTTCAAATGTTTTGAAATGCAACAACCGCGGCATGTCCTCGAATCTGTCTGCCGGTTCGATCAAAGCAATTACAGTGGGCTCGCCGACTTCGCGTCAGGCTACAATGGAAGTAATGTATTTGAGCTGCCCGGTACAGTGGTAAGCACTCAACGTGAGCAGCCTGACCACAGCACTGGCTTTTAAAGCCGGTTTCCGAGTCCTGAAGTCCTGTCGTGCGGTTGCATTTGATGGGTGAATATTGCCAGGCCGGACAGATATAATACGAGTACAACGTGCTCGGGGATCGACGCGAAAAGATGACAATCATCGCCACCTCGTACGACGCTGAGAGGCTCTATTTGCCTACGCCAGTATATCGGCAAGGTGATGAAGTGGCCACCCTCGCATGTCCAGCTGCCATGATACGGGAGACTTGAAGCGTTGGGCAAAGTGTGGTATTCACCCACAGTATGACTCGGGCCACTATGTATAATTTCTCATAGAATGGATACTGGAAATCTAAGTCGAAGAGGGTTGCTCTGCCTGCCAGAGGAAAGCAGCCAATGTGATTTTTTCGTGAACCGAAAACAGGTCTATTTTCTACTGCGGCGTTGAAGGCTGCTCAGTAGGAGTTGGATCGTCACAATTTTGACCAACACCTAAGGTCTGCTGGTTGCGCAGATACTTTTCACGCTCTGCTCTTTTTGCCGCATTCTTGATTGCCCTCTTGTGGGCACGCCCGTTCAGGTGGATATTCCACTGGTCTTCGGTCGCCATCGTTCTACTGCAGATCTCACATGTAAAGGTCTGAAGCACGTCGCTGCGCTGCGTCTGCGCCTGAGCCTCCCGCGCGCCCAGTGTTTCTCTTGCCATGTCCGAGAGGGATTTAGGATCCGGTCTGGGTTCGTCGTTGAGGAGCGCTTGAGTCAGGCGCTCAGACGGTTCGGTAACACACCTCTGCCAGTCTTCAACGTTTGTACTGTCCAGAAGATACAAATTATTTGTCGCACTGGCGTCAGCAAGCGCCTTCCAAAGCTTGTTCCGTATCCATTTGATCTGTGATGTCGCATATTGACGTGTTGCGATTTTCACCAGCTCGATCGACGACTGTTTGAGTGCTTCAAGCTCCCCTTCACACAATTCACCGTTTTCCAAGGCGTCAAAGTAGGGTGCTAATTCCTTGAACCCGATGGAGACCCAGACTCCTCTTGTTTGATCAACAGTAATGCCTTGCCTTTTTTTCTCCCGAAGATAAGCCCACATTCTCTGGGCCTCTGCCATCAAGCCTTGCTCCACCATAGAATCTACACGTCTGGCAAGCCGGCAGTTCAATGTCTCCTTCTCCGAATGCACCCAGAATATCAGTGTCGGGTAACGGAGCTGTCCTAGGCCCGGTGAAGAATCTCCATTTGTCTCCGTCGCATATTTCTGACGCTTCTGCTCCGCGTAAACCTCGGAGGCCGGTTTGCCGGTTTGAAAGTAAATCTCCAAGGACCGTCGGATTTTGCGCACGTCGTTTGGATGCCATCGACTGGCGATAACGGGATCGACTTCCTTTAATTTCTGAAAGACCACCTCTGGCGGCGCATCAAGGATGGGCCACTTTGCGGACGTAGGCTCGGTCTCCTCATGGAAATGTGCATCATCATTGTCGCCTGAAAAGAGGCTCTCTTCGACCAGCTGATCCTTGAAGAGTACCGTTTGTGTGTAGTAGTGCGTTCCTCCGACCAGAATGGGAAGCTTCCCTCGGGAGTGTATGTCCTTTATTAGTCGCAGGCATTCCCTTTTGAAATGCCCTATGCGCCACGGCTCTTCTTCAAAATCGACACAACTGATCAAGTGGTGTGCGATGCCGTTCCGTTCCTCGATTGGTATCTGATTCGTGATGATGGGTAGGCCACGGTACATTTGCATAGCGTCGCCATTTATGATTTCACCGTTGAAACGGGTGGCTAAATCCACCGCAAGCTATCTACAGTCGTTAGCAAAGGATTTCTTTGGTTAATCTTTCTCTTTCCTGTCTCCCTCACCTTGGATTTGCCGGTGCCCGTGGCACCGACGACGGCAATGAGGGGCTCCATGGTCAATGGGCGTTTGATGCGCCAGAAAGAGCGAAGAAAGTTGAGCATGGGAGAGCCACATGGAGGATTCTTGTCATTACGAGTCCATTTTCCTCATAGCTATAAGGTACAAAGCAGATGCTTTGGCGGTCAAAGGGCGTTGCAGTCTCAATCAAACACGGGAAAAAAAGTGCACTCAAATATATACATGCCGACATTACCTCATCGGTCTCCGCTTCAACATAGATTCAGCTTCTCATCATGAAGTACTCGATATGTAGCAATATAGCTCAATTGTGATGGACTTTAGGACAAGCTGATGACTCTATCCAACTAATCCTCTTCAATGGTCAGTCGGTTCAGTGTTAATATTCAAGAAATGCTCGGAAAGGATAGGAATTCCCCCGGTATATAAGCCTTTGCACTGCTAATATCTAGCACATACGACCATAGGGTGTGGAAAACAGGGCTTCCCGTCCGCTCAGCCGTACTTAAGCCACACGCCGGCCGGTTAGTAGTTGGGTGGGTGACCACCAGCGAATCCCGGCTGTTGTATGTTTTTATTTTTTTTTATTTTGCTCCATTATATATATATATATATATAATTGCCGCACTGCCTACAGCCAAAGGCAGGTTATCAAATTTATATATAGTTGATAGATCCTCAAACTACTCTGTCCAGCGCGACTCACAAAGTTCAACTTCATTTTCAGACACAATGGCGTAAGTAGATCACATGACATACGTCTTCCTCACTCCGATGCTACCTACCTCACGGACTAGTGTCAATCGGTCATAAGCACGTTTCTAGAACAAGTCCTATTGACAATCTGTTGTGGTCACTCTCTTATCCAGAATTAACAAGCGAATAGGTTTATGGACCCCTTGCCATTTAGAAGTAGTAAGTGTTCTTCATATCAGGACAACACTGTCTTAACCACCGCCGTAGTTCCTCCTCGTCTAGACATGGCAGACTCAGACAATCATACGGGTCCTTCAATCGACGTGAATGGCCTGAATTATAAGTTCCAGGATGGTTCTTCAGGCTTGACGAATGTGTCTCTCAGTCTCCCTGCAGGGAGCCGGACATTGCTCATTGGAGGTGATTTGGTCCCCTCTAGCCTAGATGAGTCATGACCGATTGCTAACGCCGTTGTAGCGAATGGTGCGGGCAAGACCACTCTCCTACGCTTGCTGGCAGGCAAGCGCTTGGCCCCGACAGACACAATTTCTGTTTCTGGCAGGGACCCCTTCAAGCATGGCCTGGAAGGGGTGACTTACCTAGGTGTCGAGTGGGTTCTGAACAGCATTGTCCGGACGGACATCGACGTCCCCACACTTCTAGCATCTGTGGGCGGTGACGCCTATCCCGAGCGTAGGGATGAGCTGGTTGAGATTCTCGACATTGACCTCCGTTGGCGTATGCACGCCGTGTCGGATGGTGAGCGCCGCCGTGTGCAGCTGGCGATGGGTCTGCTCCGCCCTTGGCAGGTGCTTCTGCTGGATGAAATCACTGTGGACCTCGACTTGCTTTCTAGGAGTAACTTCCTCTCCTTCCTCAAACGGGAGACAGAGACAAGACCCTGCACGATTGTCTATGCCACGCACATCCTGGATAATTTGTCGCAGTGGCCCACCCATCTCGTGCATATGCACCTCGGAAACGTCAGGCAATGGGGGCCCATGGAGAATTTCAAGAGTGAGGTCACCGAGACATCAGAGAACAGTCAGCTCGGCGAGCTTGTGCTCAAGTGGCTTAAGGAGGACCTTTCGGCCAGAGGACCGAGGAACGGGCAATCCAGCCAGAGCAAGACCTACGGGTCACTGGACGGACTTGGGGGATATGGGCTGGAGAAGTCAACCTGATCAGACTCTCCTCCATCCGGAGCGGCTGATTCTCTGATTGTCTAATTTTCTGGAATACTACTTTTTCTTCAACAAACATTCTGTTCAACCACAATAGCATGGCGGCGGTTTACGGCTTGGTTTCTGGACGATAAAGGTCAGGCATCATTCAACATTCTGGAGCTATTCAACATCCATGACATGAGCTCATGATTGCGTTTTTGTACTTCTTTCGTTGTGTATATATACATGGCATTTCACGAAAGCATGTCAGAAATACCATATACGCGCACCGAGGAATCCTCACTTGCTACAGCAAGTTCTAATTTCCATTCGTTATCTCTAACATCCTTCCGATGGGACGGCCGCCATGATAATTGGGTGATCGCTCTAGAGGGAGATACCGATTTATCGACAGTAGCAACGTGTCTCGCTTCCAGACCGTCCAGAGTCACCCGGTAGACCGATAATTTTCCACTTTCCTCGCCCGTTGCAAGGAGGAAGGAAGCGTCAAGTACATCTGGAAGGACCGAAACAGCTGTGACCGGGCTTTCTAGAGAGATAGTAGTCTTGCAAGCGAACGAATCATCGACCTTCTCCCATAGTTTTACTGATTTGTCTCGGCCAGCCGTCGCGAAGACAGGATTTGCCGCTTGGGGAGCCCATGCCGCATCTAGAATCATTCTAGAATGGCCCTTGGGGTTCGATGTCAGAAGCGAGAATGAAGAAGGGTCCTGCCCACTTCGTAGGAAGACAGCCCACTGCCGATCTCGCCCAACACTGAGAAGGTATTGGTCATCACTCGAAAAGCACAGACTTGTGATAGTCAAAGAATGCGCTTTCAGGGAAGGTCGAATTTCACGCCAGTCAGAAGTGTCGTACAGCCGTATCACCGCATGATCTATTGAGCTTGCTTTACAAGCAGTCGCAACCAGGGTGCGATCGTGATTCACGGCCACGGCTGATATCTCGTAACCGTGACCATAGAGCTTCTCATGCTCGGGCCATAGCGTATAGCGAGCCAACTGGTCTTCCAGCGGTGGATGGCACAGGTTTGATATCATTGCCTGGTTTGCTTGGACTTGCCGTGCCCCCGCAGCACTCTCTTCGTCTACCTCCATTGGGATTTCCTCGCCCACGGCCTGGTTAGACAAGCCGAGAACCGGAATCTGTGCAGTATCTGGAAGCTCTTCATCCGTTTCTGGTTTAAACCCCGCCAGCTTCCCCAGTAGTTGGGCGACAGGTTTCGGCTCGTTGAACACCCGTAAAAGCTTTTCGTCAGCGCCTGATACAAAGCGCGCGGGTCCCAAGGTATCAATGCAGTTCAGATCGTAGCCATGAATCTGTGGCCTTGAAAACTCATGCCACGACTTCAGTCCCTCACGCGACCACTCTGCATGCAGGCGAGTAGTCTGGTCTGCGCTGGTGGAAAGCAAATACCCTCCGGTTGGTTCCCACTGCACACCGTTCACAGAACGCACATGACCCGTTATCCCCAGTGCCTGCAGCCACATGTCCGAATCGGCATCATACCTCCATGCCCTCCAGCTACCTGTTCGGCCCAGACTCACGACTTGCCTTCCGTCCGGAGACCAAAGTCCAATCCAGAAGCCGCCAGTGCTTCCTGTAGCTGTGGTGGATCCCTTTTGGACGCTGATTTCTCCCATCCTCTCTGCGGAGAGCCATACTCCGGATACCGGATCCTGCTCCCAGATTGTCAAAGTATTGTCTGCAGAAGCAGAAAGCAGCTGTTGGCGTTCCGTGCTTGGGTTCCAACAGGTCGTGTAGATCCAATCCTCATTCCCGAAAAGAAGAGCTTCGAAAGTGACCGAATATTTGGACCCGGCTGCTTCGAACTGATGAGCTTTATTGGATAAAGTCGTTTCAAGCCCGCCAAGCATAGGATCTGCATCATCTGCTAGTGTAGACTTGGTGGCCTCTCCTCGTTGAAGCCTCCACAACCGGATATATTTATCTTGGCTGGCTGAGACGAGCAATAGGTCCCCCGACTTGCTTTGTTTATCCTCGGTGAAGGAGAGGGAACGTACCCATGCCTCATGGCCTGGAAGAGTCGCAGATAGACTAAAGCTTGCACCAGCGATTACGTTCCCAGAAACATAAATCTGAACATTATTCATCGTGCCGGCAACTGCCAATACCACGGGTTTGTCTTTCGATTCTGTTGACAGCGGCTTCAGTGATAATGCCAGCGGGAAGAAGCGAGGTTTCATCGTAAGATCCTGAAATAGATCGGCCTTTATTACGGTTTCCAGCGTCTCGATCTTCCAGATCTTGACGGTACCATCTGCGGCTCCAGATGCGACGATTGCGACGCCATCGGCAACGGCAATCGTATTTACTGAGCCTGTATGACCCGTAAGAGTATGTGTATGGGCGAATTTGGTGGGGTCGACTGCATCAGCCCGCCATATCCGAATCGTTTGGTCAATGGAGCCGGTAAGAAGCAGCTTCGTACCCGTGGCGGGACATGTGTAGAATCTGACCGCACTGACTTTGTCGGTATGGCCAACGAGGAGGGCATAAACCCCGCGCTGAGAGGCATCCTAGACAGGCAACAGCAGTATTAGTCGGGTTGCGTCGAGAACCAATTGAAGCACCGAGGAAGCTCATACCCTTGGATCCCACAAGGCCACATTGTTATCTGCACCAAAGGCGAGCACACCTAACTGCACATCCCAGTCTGCGGCTGCCGGATGCCTGTTCCCCCCGACACTGATGTATTCTGTTGTGATTGACACCATGGATGCGCCTGACAATTGATCGCCAATTAGTGAACTAAACTGGTATAAAAGCGCAGCGACAAAGTCCAACTATGGCCACGGACAGAAGGGCGCTATCTTTCGATTGGAGAGGAGAGAACGGTTCGGTGACCACTTTTTGTGCCCAGAATTTAAGCTTATCGATAAGCGCGGCCATCGCAGAGCTGCCCCTCTTCGTCTGCATTTTCCTCAAACTCGTATGTCTGCGGTCAACGCGACTCCTCGACTATTCCTGAGTTAATATTTGAGAACCACATTTTCTCCGGCTGTGGGCTCATTCTGAAGCAGTCATGGCTGACCCTTCCAGCGTGAAAGGTGATGCCGATAGCATCACTATTACTGTTGAGTTCACGTTAGATCAACTTTGAATGCATTGCTTTCACCTCAATGCCTGCTGACTCCCATTCGTACAGTGGTGGTTTAGAGATTCTCTTCTCCAATGAGCGGAAACATCATATCACGCTACCCGCTCAAGTAGATGACGGCGGCCGGCCCACCATCGCTTACTTATTACCATATCTGGTTGACAATGTTATGAAGGATCAAAGGAAAGAGCTATTTATAATGGAAGACAATGTGTATGTCGCGAATGGGGCCCCCATGAATCGGTGGCAAGGCTGACAGAAAGTGGTAGACGACCTGGTATCCTCGTCCTTATCAACGATGCCGACTGGGAACTGGAAGGCGAAGAGAAATACGAGCTCCAGTCAGGGGACAATATTGTATTCGTCTCAACACTTCACGGAGGATAGATCCGCCTGGAAGTCTACATGCGCTCTATAAGAATCATCGTTTCCATGCACTTGACATGATCCAAGGTCAATTGTATAACACGCAGCATTGAGTCCAGACCGAACATACGATCAGACAACATCGTCCACGTGCTGTTGCGATATCCTCTCCGGCTCACGAGGAGTTCGAAGGCCGCTTTGCGGTGTTGAAAATCCATCCTTGGGACTGCCTATTCCTCCAACCAAGGGAGAGGGCACCCCACTGGGAGGTACAGGAATCTTGATATCTTGCGGAGAGCCAGGTATAATCTCTTTTGGCAAATCAGGAATGTGTATCCTGCGCGCCTCGTTTTGGTAGCTTTCCGGGATAATCTGCACGAAGTGGTTAGTCGGCTGCTCTGTAGGCTAGGGGCATTAAATGTATCCTTACTTCGATGATTTCATCACGTGGAAACTCCAAGAACGGAATATCAGCAGCATTACACGCCATGAGGTAACCATAGAGGACTCTTAGTACGCTTTCATGAGCTATGATGAGAAGATCGTTCTGCTCCCGTTCAAGTTCTAAAATGATGGGTTCGAGTCGCACCGCAAGGTCATGGTAGGACTGTCATAGTCGTAAGCTCGGATGGCCAACGTCAGATTTTAAGCTGAAATTGAGCTTACCTCCGCTCGAGGGTACCGATGGTGGTAAGGATCTAGCTCATGCTTAGCCACCTCGTCCGGATACTCTTCGCGAATTCTTCGCTCAGACATTTTCTCGCAAACACCAGGGTTCAGTTGGCTCATTTGTGAGCGTTGCCGGACTTTGTACCCCTTTTCGTATAGATATTTCGCTGTCTCAACCGTCCTGCGTCTGGTGGATGTCCAAACTCTCAGTGGCTTGAGTTCATAATCCGTCTCTCCTCGGGCAATCATGGCCTGTTTTTCAGATTCCCTATGCTGCAGGAGACGTTCAGTCATTTTCTTTGCGTAGTCCTCTCCCTGCTCAGACAGAGAGGCATCGGCTTTATAGGAATCTGCCTCCAACGAAACACCGGCCTAATGAAAGCTTAGTGTCTGAGAGTCCATTCAACCAGAACTCGACTTACTCGTGCAAAGTACGTATGCCTGGACTTGATGTGAAGGTTGAGAAGATAGAACACAATTCGGTTAGATAGATAACCGAAACTTCTGTTGTTGACAATCAGTCTTTCTCCCGCGTTTATCATCTGTACTTCAATTAGTATTGAAGTTGACATGTCTTTCCGCCAGTGATACCTTGATATAATTCAAGTCTTTCTCCTCCATGGTTTGAAATTGAGGGATTCTGGCAGATATTCTGGTCAAGTAGTGCTTCACTGCATCCTCTGATGACCAGCCAACGTACTGATAGATTTTAAGTCATTTTGATCGGACACATGCTAGGAGGGATCTACTTACGTCTGGGGATGAGATCTTGACTCTGCGAACATTTTCCTCAATGATGCGCTCGTCATCGCACCACGATTCGATGAAGAGCGTCTGCACGTGTTCTGACCGTTAGAACAGTCCAGCGCACAAATCGTATGGTGAAATGAGATGTTTTGATATTTTCATACCTCAATATCTTGTTTGGCAAACTCCTTCGCAAGCGATCGTCGGCCAGAGGCTAAAGGATTGACCGCATCATAAATCGCAATTTGGCCATTTTCGAAATTCAAGTACTGGTATATGTCTTCACGACACCTTTTCATGATCTTTTGCCTCAATAGAACCGATGATGCAGATGCTGTGTTCAGTTAGCGGGACGAAACGACGTCAAGGATATAACTATCCGCTGGTGCGAGTGTGGTGTGAAACGTGCTCTGTAGCAAGAAGAACAAAGACGAAATCGGTAGAGAGTCTCGAATGACTCACCATTGACAAAAAAGTAGTCATCTGGGATGTCTTGACCAACAGGTATCGTGGCTCGTCTGTAATCTCCAAGGTGGAAGATCCTAGTTTTTACACCTAGCCTGCAATTCCCTTAGCGATGACAGCAAGACCGATTCGACAGGAACACCAACCATCGAAGGTAGCGCGCCAATGCTACAGAAATATGTCTGAAATATAACACGAAGCGTCAGTTATAGGACGAGCTCGATTTTCGTCAAGATGGTGAACGAACGTCTTGCCCCTCGCTGGTAAGCCTACAGTGATAATCACAATCCTTCCAGAATGGAAAAGTCGACCAGACTCCGTACTATACAGTTGAGCTGGTGCCAAATCGGCCTTCTCAGGCAAATCATGGATTGCATCAACGAATGTCGATGATTTCCGTCGGAACCGAGGGGAATTGGCCACGATTTCAGCCGTTCTGCGCCATGTTAGATTTGAACAGACTTACATAGCAAAGGCGAGTGTATGCCCAATGGAGGGGGATATGATTCGTTTCTTGACCAAGCTTGAACCGGACTCTTTTGGCGGCCCGTAGTACTCAATGCATTGATATAAGGGAACAACAACAATCCTTACAGTAGTGTATCCATCTTAAAGAAATATTTCAGACACTGAGCTCTGACTAAACACGATCCAAAGCAAAGCTCTCAAGAACAGATTGCAGGCGAGGAGGGTATCCTTCAGACAAGAGATATTCACCAAGGCTAAGTGCCAAGGAACCTTCGGAGTTGGGAGCTTCGGACAGGTGACGAGGGAAAGGCAAAGGAAAAGGTAAGGTAGAAAAGAAAAAGAGAAAGGTGAGGATAACAATAATAAGATAAAAAGAAAAGAAAGGAAATTAGATTGCAATAAGTTCCTGCGAGCTCCAGCAATGATTAGAGGTTGGCAAAAGACGTCTTGTCGGCAATAGCGAATTGTGCCTATGGCTGGCGTCCAATATACAGCCCAATGCTGGCTTTGAAGTAGTCAGTGTAATGTACCTTCGGGGGTACTCGGTACACTTGGTGAACTTCGACAATGCTTCTTAGAAATTTCGTATAGAACTTTTTGAATCTTTCTCGCAAGCTAAATGTTTTCCGTCAATAATAGAGACTACAGTAGCCAACAGTGACCCTTCATCTACCAATCTGCAATTATATCATCATCGTCAAGCCCCCAATGACCCAATCCCAATTAAGCCCGAAGCGGCATAGTCTGGAGTCCTGTGACTTCGGGACTCTGTATGTGCCAAAGACGCATGCCGGGGCGGAAAAGCAAATGTCGCTTTTTTTCCCGTCAGAGGCTGCTTGGGAAGATCAATCAACAATTGTTGCGCTGCGACTCTTCCACTTACCGTCTCAATCCCCTAGAGCTGGTTAGGTGCAGCCTGCTATTATTTCAATTACTCGGCAACTACTAGCGAAGTTGCCTTCGTCACGTTCTAAGTGCAATCTCGGGGCTGGTCTCAGATCTCGTCTTTCCTCATCTCATCGATAGCGAGAAGGAAAGACGTCCCTCAAGCCCGCGTGACGGTCAACCTCATCATTTGATATCCTCTTTTCACGCCAGTTCACTTCTGCGCAGACAACCACAATGGCCGACTTTTTAGCCCTTCCTTCTTTCCTTGTGGAGAATTCCGCTGCCATCGCCCTCAAAGATGCATACAACTCGTTCTCCGAGCGAAGGGCGGCCCTCGGCCTGTCCAATCCAGGAACTGTGGATAACATTGCCAGGGAAGTGCAGAAGGAGGTCCTGCTGTCTAACTTTATGTTCAGCGGTCTCCGTGCAGACTTGACAAAGGTTTTCGGCATGTCTCCCCTGTTCCGTGTCTCGCACGCCTTCTCCATGGGCGGGTCTGGCAACCTGCCTCCATATGCCTTCTCGGCCATGTACGGAACTCCTAAGGTATGCATCATCGCTTACTGGATAAAATGGACTCCTTGAATTTTACCGACTTCAGTTGCTAAACGCTCGTCTCGTCAGGTTTTCATGCAAGGTAACTTCGGAAGCGATGGCGCTCTCGCCGCTGTTTTCAACTACCGATGGAATCCCAAGCTGGTCACCAAGACCAACACTCAGATCATGGCCGGTGCTAGCCAGGGCCTCCTGCAAATCGATAACGACTACACCGGTGATGACTTCTCCGCGTCTATTAAGGCCTTCAACCCATCCTGTCTGGACGGTGGCCTTACTGGAATCTTTGTCGGAAGCTATCTTCAGTCCATCACTCCCAGCCTTGCCCTTGGATTCGAAGCGATCTGGCAGCGCCAAGCTATGAACGCCCGCCCAGAGACTGCCCTTTCGTACTGTGCGAGATACAAGGCAAACGACTGGATTGCCAGTGCTCAGCTGCAGGCTCAGGGCGTTTTCACTGCCTCCTATTGGAGAAAGCTCTCTGAGCGTGTTGAGGCTGGTGTTGACATGAACCTTCAGTTTGCTCCTAATGCAGCCGCTGCTTTGATGGGCGGCCCTAGCAGAGACGGTACCACCTCTATTGGAGCCAAGTACGACTTCCGGGCTTCGACATTCCGTGCCCAGGTTGACAGCGCTGGTAAGGTTAGCTGCTTGCTGGAGAAGCGGATAGCCATGCCCATCTCTCTTACTTTTGCTGGCGAAATTGACCAGGCTAAGGTGAGTTGTCTGTCTTTATACAACCTTTGTGTGTACGATGGATCCAAATGGTTACTGATCCGTATCGCATTGTAGCAATCGGCCAAGCTTGGTCTTGCTGTGTCCCTCGAGATCGCTGGCGAGGAATTGATGGAGCAGCAGGAGAAGATCGAGGCTCAGGGCATGATCCCTCCTCCTTTCTAAATCCTCCTTAAAGCATAGCTGGAGCTAATCATACCCGCTTGCTTGTGGGAAACTGGAGCTTTTATTGGCTGCTCCGCCATCCAGCTTGAATTCTTCTTCCACTATCTGTTTTATTAGATCTTCTCTCTCCATGTGTACGTCTGGAAGATGGTGTATCACCTCGGTTATGCCCTTGAACGCGGTTTGCTGGTGCAGGAAGGCGGTCATTTGGCGCCAGGGAAACCAATTTTTGTATAGATCCATCTTCGATTTATTGGGGAGTCTCCTATTATTTCTCTTCCGACTTCCGCGTCATGGCTTCATCTATGAGACTGTTGTTCCTTTTTCTT